ATTTCGTTTAACGTTCTATATAAGGAAGTTAAGACGATCTAGTGTCACTAAGTCTATGCCTTTGAAGTTTGTTGATTCTTCTGTACTGCTGTTCCCCCCCCCCTTAATGTTTCCCAGGCTACTCCAGAAAAACTTTTTTTATACTGCAAATAGCACTAGAAGCTGTCAGTAGGTCGAGTAGGATGTCGCTTAACCAATTCGTTAATACTGCTGTAGATAGACACTTGGATTCCTGCAAGAAATTAGCAAATATTATCCTAATGGATTCTGAACATCCTCTGTATACACAACACTCTCCTTGCACCTCATCGGGTAGAACTAAGAGCAACTATAGAAGACTGTATGCTCGGAAGAATAAGCACAGAACCTCTACGATGCCTTATTTAGCACACATTTTATCTGGTGGAAGAAGTGTAAGGCAGGATACTATTAACTTACTACAAAACACTAAGTAAACAGCTCGTTTTTGTTCTTTCTTTCATTGATGTATTATTGTTAATATTTCCTCTTAAATTTTTTAATAATAATAATTTGCTTTATTCCAAAACAGTACTTGTGATACAGAATGGAATTCTCAGCATGTTTACCACAGTATTGCATCCAGTGAGTACATTATCAATAAATAGAATTCTGCATAGATTAAGGAAATCTCAGTTCATTATGACAACAACATATTGGCATGTCGGTAGCAAAGCCAAAGTTGAACAGTGTTTGAAGGTGATTAGAAAAGTACCTGCTATCATATTTACTGTCGTAAGCGAGAGAAAGAAACAAAGCAGCACATAACGGGAAAAGGAAAAGAGAGAGAGAAAAGGAAAAGAAAGAAAGAAAATGTTGTAGCTATAAATGATATGAGTTGGAAAGACGAGATCCAGTTGTCCTACTGACTATTTGATGAGTTATAGGTGTCACGCCTAATGCTTTCTTTATCACACAGAACACGATCTAAGTAGGGTATGGTTGAGTTTTTGTACTTGCTGGTGCGAGCATATAGTTTTCTATATTGGCTTCTGGTTTTACCTGATGAGATGCAAGGGGAGAGTTGTGAGTGAAGAGGGTGGTGTGAGTTAGATAAAATGGATTAGGGCCATTTTTCACATGAGTCCGTGTGCCTGTCGACCAGAATATTAACAAGCTGGTTAAGTGGCACATTGCTTACCCTGCTCACAACATTTAACATCCTGCGTAATATGTTATAGTCTTTCTTCAGTAGCCCGGGAAAAAGTAAGGGGGAACAATAGAGAGTTAACGAATTGTAGGAGTAAGGGTTGGGTTATACCAGAATCTTTTAACTTCTTGATGTAGAAGGTAAGACGGAATATTTTCTTAGAAATCGCCAAGATATGAGACGACCAGGAGAGATCAGCAGATAGAATGACGCCTGGGTATTTGATTTCCGACTTGGTTTCTATTTCAGTGCCATGTATGTTGCATACCTGGTGAGAGCCAACCAGTTTGTTTAGGTCAGATTTATGTCTAAAAGTGAAATTGACTGTTTGGCATTTGGAGGGGTTTAAGGTAAGACCGTTTTCCTTGAACCACTGGCTGATTTCTGACAGAAAGTCATTTAGTTTGGAACAGTCACTTTGACATATTCTTATTGAATAATGCTACCAGTGTAAATGGCCTCTTTCACTTATTACCTGTGTGATGAGAAAATTAGATGCAATATTGTATCATATGCAGAAATTCCATATTTATACCTGAAGTACTGTTTAGAATAAAGCTGTTGTTATTAAAAAAAGTCGACACTAATCTCTCATGACATGTGTAAAATTTCTTTAATATTTGTCACCACTTCATGAATCATTAACAAGCTTTATATGACGAAATCAAAAGATTTTATTAGAAGAAGCATAGAGTCTAGCATTTATTTCTCTTTACTAACTAATATTTATTTGGTTGATTCGTATGAGAGAAATTCTCAAATTTGTTGGTAAACACAGACCACCATGGCGGTCGAGCTTGCGGATACATAGTAAGTGTTCTGTTAAGCTAGCCTTTTCTCCACCCGACTGATAGCAGTTACTCAGCTCTACAGTTCACTTTGGCCATTCTACATTTAATCAGGTAGAGTTCTTTTAAACCAGGAAGACTAAGTCACTTGTAGATTATTAGTTATAGTATTTAAGGGATAGTTCTCATCATCTAATGAGTAAGGTTTTAAAATGTTAACTGAGCAAGATAATGACTGACAGCAAGCAGTGTATAACAAAGCGACTATTTCTTAGCTAGACTGAATAATTTAATGTTTGTAATCTTTACATTAATATTTGAAGCTGAAACTAGTTGTTATTGCTCGTATACTATACTAAACCTAAATAATGCATTTGCTATTCAGTTTCCCTCCATGTAATTAAGTAGTACATACAAATCACTTGCTATCAGTTAGTCGTTTTATAGATGAGAATTTCCGTAAAGCTTTGCTTTAAAATAGTACCCATTAGCACGCGCTTCGAGTGTTGGAGTTTCTATAGCGGTTTGATTGATTTTCTGGGGGTAGGGTCTCTAGCTGTAGGCCCAACCCTCCCTCTTTTCCTGGGTTTGAGACCAGCTAGGAAACTAGCGAGCTAGTAAAATAGGCCTTCGCTTTCCATTGAAGATCAAATGGCCAGAGAGAATTAGCCAAACGAAACTCTGGCAACAAACCAACCAAGAACCTATTGTTTAACAAATATGCAGGAGGAAATGTCTGTTTGGATTCAACATAGAACTTGGCACCGAAGTGCAGCAGTTCCAGTTGCCACGTTCCAAATAGCACACAAAGGTAGACAAGAAGATGAGTGAAGAGAATCAATAGAGTTTTGACAAGTATAGGAGTGAAACAGAATGAGTAATGGTAGAATGGAATATGAAAGATTACAGAGACTGAATACATCTGCGTAAGCCATTGACAACGATTTTGAGCCATGTCACCTATTGTCTCCAGCCATTGATTCTTAGAGTCCCGAGGGTCCCAACCCGGAAGTCTGCATCTCCCTACCTGACTCAGTTTAACTGTCAGGGATTTCATGGATTGGTGAGGCCATGCTTTTGTTTGGCCACCACTTACTCTTTTCCAACCTGCACCTATATCATCTAGTAATGCCCGTCGTGGGAGGCTATGGTTAGGCATGCACAGCACGTGACCTAGCCATCTCAATCTATGCAACTTTATAGCCTCTTCGATTGATTTTCCCTCTTTGCCCAACACTCTACGCCTAACGTCAGCATTCCTTACCTTATTATACCACCTAACGTGAGAAAGAGATCGTAGACATCTATGATCAAAAACAGTCAACTTTTTCATATCTTTAAGTCGTATTGGCCATGTTTCAGAGCCATAGAGAAGGACAGAGCGAAATACTGAGCAGTACACACATCCATTGGTTGATAGCTGGATGTCACGCCTACGCCAGGGATGGCGTAAGTTAGCGAAAGCAGCTCGAGCTTTTTGGATACGTGCTGAGATTTCGTCACCAATCAATCCGTTGGTACTGATACGACGTCCCAAATAGGTGAAGTGGTCAACATGTTCTATCACTTCACTCCCTATCACTAAGCTAGGAGCTGACGTAGTCCAGTCCAGTAGCAGCATCTTACATTTTACAGGGGCGAATCGCATGCCAAACATACGAAGGAGGAAATGAAGATGGATGAGACACACACTGAGGAGATTGTTGGATGACATTGCGCGCAATGCAGACCATTGCCTGTGTGGAACCCAAATGGGAAACGAGGGGTTGCGCATTGGTTCGAGGGTGACGTAGAGCAGAAGATGAGTGCTTAAGAAGAGTAATCGTGAACCCAGCTGAAGAGGACAGAAGAAAATAGAACACAGAGGAGATGTGTTGCTGAAGCCCTATTTTCCACACAGCTCAGCCAAGAGTTGACGAGTATTAACACTTAACACTTATTAAAGATGACAGCAGTCTACCGGTGAGATTTACAGTACTACTACAAAATGAATCAACTATGCATTTAATTTGATAACCTGTAGAGCTTAGAAATAAAGTTCCTGGTGTTCAAGTAGTAAATAATACAGACTTGGATTTTTGAGAAAATAAAAGGGTTTGCTTTTAATGCAACATTAAAACACCTTTCTGTGGTGTGTCGACAAGCATACAGCCTAGGTCGAGCACAGCTTTTTCTGACTAATTTTTTGAAGGTGTTAAAACTTTCTGGAATACAATTAGTACACCGGACTATATATATTCAAACAACTGATTTTTTGAGCACATTAAGTTGATTTATTACTCGACAAAAATGCTATCAGAAACAATATTTCTTATTCTTTTGAAATATGGGAATAAATCATTCTGTATCTTAGATCAAAATTTTGAAAGTGTATTTAACGTTTCAGAATAGAAAACTGTCTTCACCAATGATAATAATAATAATAATGGAAAGGAGGAGAATGAGACTTCGAAATAAAGTCATACATACTCTATAGTGTCCTGATATTAATATTATTTATTGAGAGTGCTATATATATTCGTTCATTCATTCAGTATTATTGCACTTTTGTGAATATGCCATAAGGACTCGAGTTCATAGAAGACAAATGAATATTTATTATTGCTCAGCTGATTAATGAACTTTAGTATTGTAGCTATCGTGCAAACACTCAGTCACACAGACATACTCAGAAACACAAAGGTACTCAAATATATATATCATTAGCAAACAAACAATGATCAACACACACGTATTTGCACAATACTTTTGAATTATACTACTGAAATTTGTTACTTCATACCTTTTGTTAATAATAATGAGAGTAGTTGTCAGTTGAAAGTAATTAACCAATTGAAAATAAGTTTAATTGAAAAAGCTTTCTTTCTTAAGTTTTTCTTTTTATCTATTTTTAAAGAAACAATAAAACAAATAAGTAGTAGTTCACAGTTTACTTACACTAGTTGAGTGATTTCACTAGGAATATTTTACGTACTATTTATTTTGTCATCTTCCCGTCTGAATACGTCACCGGTTGGATTTATAACAATAGCAATAATAATAATAATAATCTGTCAAGAGAAATACAACTCAGATACACACATGTCATCACCATCACCAAAGTGATACTGTTTCCTCTTTTAAAACTCACTGAAAACGAATGAGATCACCTTTGAATGCATTAAACTAAGTGAGTTTAACACGAAGCTTTGTTTTTAAGAGGAAAATTCACCAGTGTATTTTTAAAATTTTTATGTTGCATAAACTTCTGCATGGAGCTGACATCAGTTAGAGAACCACTGGAAAACCTGGGAGTACTGGACAGCTGTTTCGTCCTAGTTTGGGACTCTTCATCAGTACACACCCACAGGGATTAGAACCCAGAACTTTCTGGTTACAAAGCGAGCTCGTAGACCATTGAGCCACTGGGACCCAATCCAATGGTCCTTGAACTCTAACTTCTGCCAATTCCCAAACTGGGACGAAACAGCTGTCCAGTACTCCCTGGTTTTCCAGTGGTTCTCTAACTGATATCAGCTCATGATGAAACCCTCCATGCAATCAAACAAAATCCCTACGAAACCAATACTTGAAAAAGCATAAACTTTTGTTTGATACTGGATGTTAGAAGGTAGTTGACTGTATGTGCCTTTCTATTCATCAGTAGAATGCACTTAAACCTGACGAGAAATTATAGTTTCTTTTAACATTTGAGTCTAGGTTACTAGCTGTTGAAGTTTGACAGCTTATTACAAACCACTTGATGCCATAACTCAGATCATGTCTCCATGAGTAGAAATTTTCAGATGTGGATATGCTATTGTTTGTTCATACTGGATAACAGACGAAAATGCATTGTTAGAATAGTATATATATATGTCTATAGAAATCTTCTAAATCATTAGGATTAGAATCAGTCAGTGAGTTATAAAACCATAATGACTGCCTTTTGGAAAGATAAGTATTCATCACCAGTTCTGATGAACATGCTACTGTTGTTATTATTATTAGAGGAGGAGTGTGACTGAGATGCTCTAGCCCACTACGCTGTCCTAACCTAATCACTTTATGTGTAATCTAAGCTTTGAAAATAGTGTGTTATTTGCCATTCTTTACACTTTATAATGTAATATTCCCCACGCATCATTACTGATTGTGAATAAAAAAGAAAACAGCTAATCAAGCAAACTATTCACTGTCCACTATGTTCATCATCGCCTATTTCTCCTTTAGTTCACTTCGTGAGAAATTTGATCGGTTAATCCTGATCACGGTAATAATGAATACAGAAGGTAACATTTTAAGGGTTTTCCAATCGGATTCCACTAAAGGTTTGGCCTGATGTGCGATGTCACCCGATGGTCTCTTCAAAGTGTGCCCAGTCTATCTCCATTTTCTTCGGTCTACATGTTGACCAGTGGGTTCTTGCTTGGTTACTTCCCAATTCTTTCTGGTCAGGCATGAGATCTTCTGTATGGAGGCAGAGAATGCAGCCGTTGACAAAGGTCTTCAGTAGCCTATTCGAAATGCTATTTACCTATTATTTGACATTTTGCCCATGGGATTTCTTTTTCATCGCTTGATAAATCTTATTCTGGTGAATCCATTTATTGATTATGGATTCATTTTTTAATAGCTGTAAAAGGTTGCGAGAATATTGGGAGCAACACATATAAATACAGTCGTACAGCAAAATAAAGTGAATTCGCCGAAAAGGCCCTCTTCTCTAAACTACTTCTTTTTTAAATTAATGCCTGAATGGAGATTATTCATGAACATAAATTTCTTCTCCATACATCAGTACACACACACTTTCTTGTTGCAAAACTATCATTGATACCATAGTTGATTTAAGTATCTATAGAATTCTGTAATTATTTACTCAGAGATTGAATTTCGATTCCTGACAGCTAACACTAGCTGGCAGCGTCGGTGGCATAGCGGTTAGGACGCTTGCCGACCATGCACATGGTCCGGGGTTTGATCCCCGGCCAACGAACTCCTTTACCTCTCTGAGCCAGAAATAATACTGGTAAAGAGGGAAGGTTGGGCATGAGGCTAGCAACCCTATCCTGTAAAATAAACACTGCTACAGAAACTTCAAGCCACTATCTTGAAGCCCTATGTTCCACTGGGGAACGTGAAGAAAAAAAAACACTAGCTGGCAGAAGGTTTCTATTTATTTAACAATTGATGCGAAAGTAATAAAGTGCATTCGATAAATCCAGTATCTATAACCCATATCCTATCTAGATAAAATTTAATACCAAATACTTATTTTATATTGTGCTAAGTTTTATTTGAAACCAATCTGATAGAAGTGCCTTTTCGGTTATGAAGGAATATTGTGAAGATTATACTTTAGTGTTTTAGCGATTTCTACTCGTAATTTGCGTAATATCTTATGTTTAACATCTATTCCTTTGAAATGTGAACTATCCCAGTTATAATGTTAATGTTAATAAAGCGTGTGATTACGTTGAATTGTATATTATTCAAACTATATTAAAACTCTAAGCTTTGTATTCACTAACTAGAACTAAGTTTCTGTCAAAGCAAAACTGAAAACGATTTATTATCCTTACGGACATAGCACAATTAGATATCGTGTCAACCGTCATGTCCTTAAATCTGCAGCATAGTTTATGGACATCGGTCTGGTGTAACACCAGACCTAATGGGCCTAGCCAAAAAAAAGGGCAAAGTCCAGACACCAGAAGGAATATGTGAGCTTGCCAAACCATATGTTGAATACAGAATGCACTATTGCAAATACGAACAGGATTCAGACTTATAGGCGTCCAGTCTTAATGCTTAAGATGGCAGCTTCTCAGCTTTGTCCGTTCAACCAAGAATACAAATATATATCAGTTGTCTGAACATGAAATTCTTCTCCTACTAAACAGGATACAATTGTAACTGTCAGGTTGTACTTCACTGATTAATTTACTCATTTTTAGGGTGAAACTAATGTCTCAAGACTGTCTGAACCCAGCTACCTAGCTGTGCCACTTCTATGTGTATCTATAAATTTAGTTGCTCCTTTGGAGAGAGCTATATAGGGCGAACAACTAGACAGCTTAACAAATGCATTAATGAGCATCTTCCTTCATGGTTTGGAAAAGGTCAAATAAAATTTATAGGAAGTTCTATTTTGGCTGATTTGATTGATAGCGGTCGCCAAGTGGACAAAAATAGTGCCTTCAAAGTTATCTATCGCATTCCATAGAGCCTTATACACATATTCGAAGCTATGGGAATTAATTCGAGAGAACAATCCTACTCTCTGCATACAAAAGAAGTTTGTTCTACCTTTGTCTCTCCCTTGGCCTAGGTGAATTCTAATCAAACCACCCCACCCTTTCTTATTTTCCATTTCCTTCATACTTTTATGATATTTATTAAAACTCTGATTATCTGTCCACTTCACCTTTAGTATTACGTAACTTTTAGGATTTGACCTAATTTATTTATGGAATTGCCTACATATACACATACTACTACTCTTTTTATTCTTATCGCCACCTACATATACCTTATTATCAATATTTTGTTATCATCATAATCATCGTTATTAACTACGTTCAAAACATTTACAACATTATTATTATTTGATCCATAAAATTACCGTCAATGGTTAAAATTTTTATATATAAATCTATGTAAGTTAGGGTAAAACCTGAAGAAGATCTAATTGAAAACAACAATATTGTTCGCTTATATGTCTTGTTCTCATATCAAAAATGGAAATATTTAAAGATTTCTTATTTGTGTCTGAAATCCACTTCACAATCGTAAGAAGAGATGATATGAAAAGATTAAAAGGCGAAGCCACTATGAACTCTGGGTTACAAAATGTCGGTTGGCCATGTGGAAACTCTTATGATATCTTTTGCATCACAACCTGAAAATAATATTCAAAAAGATCCAAAGGACACACTTTCATGGTCTTTATGCATACTGAAAATCAAAATCAAGTAAGCTCTGCTTATAGTCCTGTTATGGATCACTGTAAACACGGCAGCAGATTTATATCACACTACCTAATCAACAACATTGAATATCACAGTTTTTTAACTGTGCCATAGATTTCAAATCATGTAAATTCATAATAACAGTCTGCAGTGGCAAAATTTTCTACTTTAACTGAGGTAGAATGAATCCATGTTATACTAACTCACTGTTTGTTTCACCCTTCTTAAGGACACTTTATAGGCCAAAAAAGCTCGGGATAATTAGTTTTGAACTTTTGAAAGAAGTTGGGATCCAATTTCTCAGGACATTCTACTGAATTCACTGACTCTACTGTTTGCGAACATTCAGTCCACACTTTTTGACTACTCATCTCGAACACTGATTCTGGTTCATCCATATGATCTTCATCAAATTCGAAGGTGTAGAAGATCTGTTGCATTCTTGATTATAGTCATTATTAGAAGTATCATTAGGAGTTGATTTGAATGCTTTTTAACTTAACTCACGTCTTAAAGCCTCACTACATGATAATACTGTATCCATAGGTGTAATAATACACCTTAGATTCACGTCATTATTATTTTCCTGATTTACAGATAAGCTTAAAGATTCTTGTGAATTTAAATTTGAAAATGTCAAATATGGTGATAATGCTGATGGCTGAGGTTGAAATCTTGTATAAAAATTATTTTCATTTGATGAATATGATTTTGACTTGCTTTTGCTCAGAAATTCATTTTCATCAATACCATTATTTAAGTGTACTCGAAGAATAAACGAAGGTAATCCTTGTAATGAATTATCCCTACGTACTTCAGTTTCACGACCGATGGGGAATCATCGATTTAAAGATGAACTACCTAGACTAGCTATTTCTTCTCGAATCCGCCGTTTCAGCTGCGCTTGTGGAGCGAGTTATACTGAACGTTGCTCTAGGACCTAGATTTTTCATGCTCACTCGGGAACATCTACCAGTATAACTACGTAAAGGTGTAGTGAAAACCATCAGCATTTCGATATTAGACCACATGGTCCAAACCGTCTACAAATCCAGCCAGGATTGAAGAATTCTACACCATTATCTATCGGGTACGAAACAGATTGCCAAAAACATCCAGGTACCGCATACTCCAAACAACAGAGGCTATCGCGATTCGCGTGAAACAACCAGTGTTTTGTGTGTGTGAAAGAAGCAATTTCAGCCACTACTACTAC